GTGTTTCATTTTTAGTTATAATGGCAATTGAAAGGAGAAAAAATGGCTTGATGGAGCCCATCTCCTTTTCTGAGCTTGAAATATATTTCACATTACTAATTGATTGCTTAGTAAATTGTTCACTTTATAGCTATGTTTGATTGGCACTCTAGCTCCCAATTTCTTGCCTTCAGATTTTCTTTTCTTTTTAATTCAAAAGGCACAGTGAGCCTAAGTAGAGGCCTTTGATCTTTTACTGCGGTACATGGCTTAAATACTATACACTGATACAACTTCCAAATATATATTTAAAGCACAGACTGCTCCTCTGAGCTTCAGACTTATGTATCTATTTAACTGCCAGTTCCACATCTCAACTAAGATGTCACACAGGCATTTAAAATTATCCCACAAATACATTCATGTTTCTAATTGCCCACTCCCTCCGTTCCAAACTGCAGTTTGGATGGCAGTCCAAACTGCCATCATGTTGCACCTAAACAGATGTGAAACTCTCCTTCCTGATCATCCTTCCAACCTTGGGCTTCTACCATCTATTTTCCAGACGAAAGCTAGAATATTTTTAAAATATTAATTGAATGACTTTACTTTCCTATTTAAAATGTTACAATGACTTGTCATTGCACTTCCATTGAAAGTGAAACGTCTTCCCATGAGATTGGAATCTCTGAACAATTGCATCTATCCTCTAATTTCATATTTTCTGTGCAGTTCTCTTCATCACCCACAAAGTTGCAGTCACAGTAGTCTCCTTCCAATTCTTTGAACCTGAAAAATGGTTTCCTGCCTCAGTGCAATTGCACAAGCTGGAATGCTCTTCCTCTATCCTTTCCATGGTTCAATTTTCCTCTTTTCTTGGTTTACAGTGGAAACAGCACTCCCTCATAACCTGCTGTGATATTTTTAAGAAGGTTCTCTGTAGCCCACTGTCATTAGTGTCCATTCCAGGACCCTATTCATTTCATTCATAGTGCTCATCATGATCTACTAGAAATCAGTTTTTTTCTTGTTTATCATCGGACTCGCACACCATACCAAAATCTCCATTGGAGGAGCTCAGAGCCAAGTCTGTTTCATTTACCACTATCAACTCAGTACCCAGCAAATGTCTGACACCTAATGGGAACACAGCAAATATTACTTATATGAGTTAATGGGCCAAATTTTAAAAGGGAGCGGAAAGTGTTTTAAAAGGAAGAAACAAAGGAAAAAAGACTAAAAGGAGAAGGCAAATGGGAATCAGTAGTAACTTAGATGAGGTGAGTCAGAATCATAAAATGTTGGGATATTATGAAACAGATGGAGAAGAAAGAAAAACCCCCAGTCTGAGAAGAAAGAAAAACCCCCAAATCAAAAACTTTAATTTCCCATCAGACATAATTTTGACATGCCACAGTAGCATGTTCTAATTTAAAAGCATTCAATGTAAACAATAGCTTTCAAGAAAATTATTGTAGTTATAATTGGTTAAGGCAATGCTAACCATTTTAATAGTTAAACCTCCCTATTTTAGTGGCTTAACATTGCAAAAGCTTTTTTCTTGTTCTCATAACAGTCTAATATGGGAGTTTCAAGTTGGATAGATCTCCTTGAAGAGATTAATCAGACGCTCCACTATCTTGAACATGTGATTCCCACTGTCTCTCTGAGAGTTGACTCCCTCCCAACTAACTGGAAGGGGAAAATAACTAACTGAAGGGTAATAAGTGGGGAAGCTTTTATAGATGAAGCCCAAACGTGGGCTTTGTCATTTTTGATCACATTCCATTGGCTTGAACTCAGTTTTACAGCCTCATCTAGCTGCAAAGGAGGCTGGGAAATGAAGTTTGGCTTTGTGTCCAGGAAGTAGAGGAAATGGGTAGGTGATCAGCAGGTAGTCTGTGTTACCATATTCCTTGTCTTTGAAAAATGCCCTTCAACTGTTTTACTCAAGTTGTCAGTTTCGTGAAAAGAAATAGTGTTTACAGCATGTGAATGGCAACTCTAAAAATAGAAGGGCCCATTTAATACACACTTTATGTTAAACATTTCCTCAGGTGTCCTAGGTCACCATCCCAGAGGTCCTAGTCAAGCTCCCTTATTCACTAGTGAGCTATAGGAGACAGTGAAACGTGCTCTCAGCTGGAGTCCTTAAAGTGTTAATGTACAAGGTCTGTGTGCAGAAGGCAAGCTGCCATAGATCTCACTGACTTTGGCAGGAACTCAAGGGTTATATTTTTCTCAGGGATGAAATATTCTTGGATAATTGTTCCAACATGTGAGACCCAAAAATGTTTTTTGTAGAAAAGATCTCAGGAAATAGAGACAGACAAAAATACCTACTAAGTTATCTAGTCCACCTCTTGGGAATCCAAGCAGATTTATATACTTCCAGATATTTCACAGGATAATCCAGCTGCATGTGGAGCAGTAGCTGTGGACCTCCCTGTCAGCCTGCCTTTATGGTGCATACTGCAACCCCATGCACATGCACAATCATCATCCCTCTTAAACACAGGCTGAATCGTCTTTATGGGTGTGCATAGACTGAACAGATGCCTATGTAATATGGCATGAGAGATGCTGGAAAAAAGACTCCATGTCCAAAAATATCTCCCCACCTAGTGTGTAACACTTTCCTAAGATGCTGCTGTAAATGAATAAATTAATATGAACCTCTCACCTTTGTGTGAATTAGGTTACCAGGTCCTTTTTCACTAGCATAATTTGCCAAGATCAGGATATTAATATGTTAAAGATAAAATTGGATATAGAAAAATAAGTATGTAATATAGGACCCCGATCAGGAAAAGGAAGCCTGGGAAGCAGCTCTGGGTACCTGTGCATGGGAACTAAGTGTGTAGGAAAGACATTTATGTTATTATAAGATGCTTATGTAGATAATCCAACTCTTTCACTTATCTTAAATGCAATTATGGCAATCAATTCTGCAAGATCAGTGATAAACTATACTTCATTCCACTTTAACATCAGAATAGATTCCTATAATCTATTCATGTATTCTATTTCAACTATATTTATAGGTCAGCCCTACAAATCTCCCTTGGGAGCCTCTTCCAGTTCCCCTATTACACAGATGAGAAACTGAGGTCTGAAGATATGAAGATTTCACAATGACACAGTCACAACTATAACTCAAGTTTCTAGATTTCTCATTTGTAGTTCTTTATAGTGTTTCATAGCATTTAGTACTTATTAAGTATTATACTCAGTGCTGAGTAATTTAGGTTATGCAAAGAAAAAAATAGAGTAATTGCTTGCTCTCAAACATCTTTCTATTGGGAGGGAGAAATTAGGCCTATACATAAAATAAGAAAAAATAATTAATGGTAAATATTTGTCCGATTCTTGATGTTTCCTTTTTGTGATAAAAATTTAAAAAAAAAGTCTTTACTCTGTCCTTGGAAAGGTAGAGTTTAGTTTGGAAAGAGTTACTGGGCATGTGTAGTTCTGTTCTGTTCTTGTGAGCACTCATAACTAAAAAGAGCTCAAGTTCTCCTCTGTACCTCCATGTCTTACTGCTTAAGATAAAGTAAATAAGTCTGTCTGATTTGGAGCATCAGTTACAAGGCACAATTTACTTTCATACTAAGCCAGGTCTTTGAATGTAGTCTTTCTTCTTTGTCTTATTCCTCAAATTCTTTAGTTCTATGCTAGGAGAGAAAAGTGCTGTTTATTGATAACCCCCTTGGACAATAAGCTCTAATGGTTTGGGACTCAAAATAAGGGTGAGTTCTTGTAGAATGTAGGCCTTAGGATATTGCTTTAAAAGCATAGAAGGGGAGAAGAAGAGGATGTCACAGATCTGGAAAACTATAATAAATCTTAAGACACTGGACTGTGCAGATAGGAGAATTTGAGGAACTGAAGTCTTAAGCCTTGCAATTAGATGTTTCAAACCAGAAGTTGCAAGTCAAAAGTCTTCAAAGTCCAGGCAGGTAAAAACACCAAGATGTACAGCAAGTAATTAAATGACAATAAAATAACAAAACGTAGATAAGGTTTTTCTTTAATTCTTGATGGTAATCAATGGGTCAATGAAATTTAAAAAAATATCACTCTGAGAATATTTAACTGATACAATCTAAACTATTCCTGACAAGTATACATCCAACCTATGCTTGAATACCCCAAGTGTCACTGCCTCTTGAGGTAAGCCATACCACCTCGGTACTGCTCTGATGATCAGAAACTCTTCTCTATGGAAGCCAAATCTGCTTCCTGAAAGCTCACACATGTCCTTGCTAATTTCATTCTTGAGGCCATTCAGAACTAAGCTAAATCCACTGAGATTTTAGAAATTTCAAGGCATTCCAACTTTAGGTGTCATCAATAAAAGTAAATAAGGTGTGTATAATAAGAGGGGATAGTTCCATGTTCTCCTGCACTGGTGTGAAAATACCTATAATATTGTATCCTATAAAATGTGGGGAACCACATTTTAAAATAAAACCAGATGGAATGGAACATGTTTTCAAAGGTGAACCACAATACAAGGATGATGAGGAAAATATAAAAGAAAGAAAGAAAGAAAAAAAATACATTTCAAGAGGACACTCAGAAGGAGATCATCAGAATCAGTGTTCTTGTCTACTTCTGAGTGCCCTCATAGGGCTTTCTTTTAAGATTCTCTTGCCATGCTTGTAGTTCAGATTTGAAAAAAATGTAATGTTCCATTCTGTGTGGATTCCTTTTAAAATGTGGTCCTCAACATATTATAGGATATAATATTACATGTACTTCCAAACTAGTGCAGAAGAACACAGAATTAACACATCCCATGTGCTACATACCTTATTTGCTCCTATTTGTGCCACTTACAATTATATTACTTCAAAGTGGTTACTTTGAACTAAACCCTCCAGATCACCTTTATTTATGTGGCCAGTAAGCCACATAGCTCACCCTATGTTTGAATCATTGAACACAAGATACTTTTTATGTTCAATTTCACCTAATTAGGGCTGGCCACTTACTCCAATTAACAAAATGCAACAAACCTTTGAGTTAAGATGCACGCATTGGGTGTACCTCCTCCTTCTGGGTGCTAAGAATTTAGAGAGAAAGTTTCCTGCCATCGGACGGCTCACACAAACATCAAGGACACTGAGAAAGAAAGAAACCACAAAAGGATTAACACTCTCATGGAATGCTTATGAAAAATTACCTTTGGAACAAAGAGGAGGACACATTTTTACACTAGTTAGAGGATCAAGGGCATTGAGGAAAACTACCGAGAGAATATGTCATTCAAGCTAGTCCTTGAAAGATGGGTACTAATTTTTTGGAATCAAGAAGACATGGAGGAGGAGGTTATTTCCAGATGATGGAGCCCCTTGAGGAAAGTTTTAAGCTGTGAAAAGGCAGGACACATAAAAAAAATTGTTGGACAGCACAGAGCACATGGAACACAATGACAAGAAACAGCGACTGCTGCTCCAGACTGAGAGACACAGACTCCAGGCTGAAGGCAATGGAGAACCATCGAGACGTTACAAAGCAAGGAAATGGGAAGTCTGTGTTTTGCAGTTCCTAATTCTATCGAGCAAATTATTTATTATTCTGTTCAGACTTGTATCTAACTTCTATTTGATAGTGACACGTACATTTTGTCTAAGCTGTTGATTGAAATGTTGAAGAGGACAACTCAGCCAGCTCCCTCATGTTTGTATCAGTCCACTCATCTGGTGACAATGGAGAGGATAAGATGAAGTAAGGAGCCTAAAGAAAAATGGGCCATGCTCTGCACATGAAAGCGTGTTAGAACCTAATGACAATTTAGTTAGGCAGATTGATGTAAAGGCAGAATTAAGGATCATTTCAAGGTCTTTAGCCTGAGTCAAAGCAGAAAATATAGTTCCAGAAACGAAGTGTGATTTTTTTAAAAAAGGAAAGATATGAGTGGAAATGTACTGATTCTAGCTTGGGGGCTATTGAATATCAGGAGTTGGCAGGACCATAAGTTATAAAGGTCTCAAAGCCTACTGTAAATTCCAGATGAAAGTTTGGGTGAGAGATCAGAACTGAAAATGGAGATTTGGAAATCATCCACTTGGACGTGTGTCTGAAACCCTAAGAGCGGACAAGGATTTGGAAGTGATGAAAGATGAAGTTAAAAATAATTAACTCAACATGATTTGTTTTGCTTACATCCTTCATACTACTGGATGGTAGGTAGAGAATGCAAAAATATTACTTTTTAAATTTTTCTTATCTATCTTAATGATCAATAAATATTTAAGAATAATACTAGAGGAATTGAGGAGAATTTGAAACATTCAGGGATTATCACCCATAGGCTAATTCTTCTATGCATAATGGGGAGTCAAATAAACATAACTGAATCCAGATTATACTGTATGCTCTGAGTTTAAAATGATGTCTGTTATAGTTTGGTTTGTTTGACCCTCCAAATCTCATGTTGAAACTGGATCCCCAGTGTTGGAGGTGAAAGCGTTTTGGTCGTGGGAGCAGATCTCTCAGAATAGATTAATGCCCTCTCTGGAGGAGGGGAGGTTGGTAAGTTCTATTAGTTTCCACAAGAGTTTGTCCTAGAGCTGATTGTTAAAAAGACACTGGCACCTCCCCTCTCTCTCTTGCTTCTTCTCTTGCCATATGATCTGTGCAGTTGCGTGCTCCACTTCACTTTCCACCATGAGTGGAAGCTGCCTGAAGCCCTCAACTTACACAGATGCTAGTGCCATGCTTCTTAGACAGTCTGCAAAACTATGAGCCAAATAAATCTCTTTCTTTATAAATTACCTAACCTCAGGCATTCTTTTACAACAACACTCAATAAACTAACACAATGTCCATCAACAAAATGAATCACCTTCCTTCCCTTAAATGGTTTACCATTACAGATTTTTTAAAAATGGTGCCGATAAAAACACAACCAGAAAAAAAAAAAACTTATGCCAGTGATGCTATTTGTATTTAACAAATTATGCTTTAACATTTACTCTTGAGCCACAGAAACACTAAGGTTCAATTTATTATTTTGCCATTGACTTTTATTAGTGTCTCTTGAACCCAGCTTTAACTTTTGTGGGAGTGTGTTTACACACAAACACATGGTATACTTTGTTTTGTTTTGCAAACAATTCCTCTTCACCAAAAAAAAAAAAAAAAAACTTATTTCAAAAATTTGTTTATAGTGAAAATAACTACCTAAAGCTCAATTTCTTCACTTCTTACAACTCTCAATTAGAAAATGCATCTCTAAGTCACTGTGAAGTACTAGGAGAAGCTGGATTTGGACATTGGTTTCTATCAATTTTTTTCTTTTTCTTTTTTTTTTTTTGGAAGGGAGGAAGGCAGGAACGGAGGAAAGCAGGAAGGGAGAAAGGAAGGAAGGGAGGAAGGGAGGGAGGGAGGGAGAGAAGGGAAGGAAATCGAGCAATGAGAGAGACATTGCCGACCTGGATCTAGAGGTCTACAAGTTGATTTCTTTTTTTTCTTTTTCTGAGAGAAGGAAAGAAAAAAAAGGAGTGAAGGAGAGGAAGAAAGAGGAAGAAAAAGAGGGAGAGAGAAGAGAAATGTTGCTTTATGCTAAAAAAAATGGATATTAATAATGGCCAATCAATGTTTCATTTAAACCTATGAGTAGGTGTGATGTGGTATTGACAAGAATGTATATTTTGTATATTTAAAGTGGAGAGCTCTATAAATATTTATTAAGTTTACTTGTTCCGGATCTGAGTTCGAGTCCTTGACATCCTTATTAATTTTCTGTCTCGTTGAGTCTAAGTCTCTTTATAGGTCTTATGTATCTGGGTGTTAGGATCATTAGCTCTTCTTGTTGCATTGATCCTTTTACCACTATATCTTTGTTGCTTTAAGATCTATTTTATCAGATATGAGAATTGCAACTCCTGCTTTTTATTTATTCATTTATTTTTGCTCTCCATTTGGTTGGTAAATCTTTCTCCATCCCTTTGTAATTTTTTTCTACAATTAAAATTGTGGTACAAAATCATTTTTCAATTTAATATTTATTTGCTCCCCGCATCCTCTGACATGTGCATAGACATATACGGTCCCACTGCATTTGAGATTATTAATTTGATGGGGGAGGGCTCCCATTACTATTATTCTTCTTTAGCAGAAGTCAACTCTCCTTGGAATCTCCTTCAAAGTACCTTGACCAGGGATGAAATTTATGAATTTTGAAAATATTGTCAGTCAGCATTGAATGCATTTACCCATTTAAAATGAGTTTTGTTTCAACGCACTTTGCTGTCATCCATGGTAATTGGAAAGTCAGTTTGAGGTATCTTCTAATGTGCTTTTTAAAATTGACCAAGGCTGCAGAAGCAGCTTCTTAAACCAAATATAATTAATTTCTATCTGTCCAACCTGATCACTGTAGGCTGACAGTCCCTCCATATTCCTTATTTTAATGTATGGGATTTTTTTTTCCAATAGAGTACACTGTCCTTTCATCTCCCTCTGTCCTACTGTAAATTGGCACTTTCTGTCTTCTACGAAGCTCATTACCATCCAATGATTTTACTCCACTTCATAGTAAAAGACACTAAACTGTGGCATCCGCAGGAAAACACACCCACCTAACTATATAGCACATTTCCTTTTCTTTTCCCAAATCTTCCTCCATGTGATCTTTATGGTTTCGATAGCTCTCAAGTGTCAACAGAGACCTGAAACTTTTCAACCGTTGGCTGCCTACCTCATTCACCCTCCATTCCTCCCAGGCAGCAGCCTAAGTAGAATGGAATGTCAAAACACCTGATTGGCTCAGAGAGGGAGCATCCATTCTCCAGGAATGCCCTGTAGATACCAATTGAAACAGCATCATCCATAAAAGTAATCCATAGACCCATTTGCTTTTCATTTTTGGCTTATGATAGCAATAATGACTATAACACAGGGCCAGGAATTGATGACCAGCTGGGGTTAATGGCTCTTGGCTGCACTGTGGGCTATCAACTCCCCCAGCTGGTCATTAATCCCCAGGAAATGCTCCATACCTTGATCGTTATTACTTAATTAATGCCTCTTTCACTTTCGGCCTAAGTGGTCAGAGCACAGTAACCCTAACAGCAGCTTGCATTTGGAACTGTGTATTTCCATTCACATACTGGAATTCCCCATGGCTGCATACATATTTTAAATTTTTCCTAGAATAGTTGAGTATGTTTGCCTCGGGCTTCTTTTTCCTTATAAAAGCAGGAGCTGGGGTGGTAGTTGAGAGGGTTTATTTTTCAAATGACAATTTGCTACTTGCATATCAGAGCTACAAGGTCAAAAGGAAACTTGAATATGCTCATCTTGCCTTTTGTTTTTAGGTTGTCTGAATTGCCTTTTCTTCCAGAGATCTAAATGCAGAAATAAACAGGAAAAGTGAAGGGGAGCACCCCTTCTGCTGTTACTTAGAACAGACTTCACAGTCCTTGAAATGGCATAATAACAGAATTTATTTGGCTGTTGTAAAACTTCAAGTGCTTTCATAACTAGTTAAATAACACCCAGGATAAATATTCTCATAGTATTAGCATTAGCATCATATCTTCAGAGATTGCTATAAAAGACAATCGAATAAGTTACCAGGCTGTCAAAGGAGATAGAGTCTGTGCAGTGTAGTGGCGACTGGCATATGTGAGTAAAGGAAAATATGGGAAGTTTTGTCTTAACACACAATTACTGCAAGGAACAAGCCAGATGCTGCTTTGGGTCAGCTGGGTTTATACACAAAGAACTGTCTGTTTATGAGCCAGATATCAACCCCAAGTGATCTTAACTTCTTCTGTCTCAAGGAAATGTCTACATTTATTCTCACCAGAAGCATAAAAGAAATGCAATCCTCTTCGTATTCTGAGAGAAACTGATGTTATCTGGAGAAATATGTTTCTAAGAGATTAGCAGTGATTCACGACCATCAGAGGCTCAAGCGTGTAGAACAACTTAGAGGAGATCATTTCGGAAGATCCAAACTGTAATGCTTTATCTTAAAGTTTACTTTCAGAATCACACATCTCCAGGATGGATGTTATAAGTAGAAATGGACTCTCACCAATGGAATCATTGAATCTCAGGGCTGGACAAAGCAGTTTGCAGCAGTCATTTAGCTCCCTGACTTAACTTCATACAGGATTAAGCAGGAACTAACCCCAGTAGATAAAAATCTATCCTGAATATAGTTGTATGACCACTTCCCTAAATGAATCTTACAGATAAACAGTTGTTACTGATGGATAATTTTTCCTTGTAGACAAGTTTGAGCTCATTGCCTCTTCTGTTTCCGGAGCAAATGGAAATTCCTTGCCTAGCCTAGATTTTTATAAAATTGCCTTCTCCTCTAGACCTCTAAAGAAACAAAGTACTAACTTCTTTATCATTTCTTCTGAAGTCTTTTATAAATTAGAGATTCAAGGAAAGTTGCCTATGTGTAGGTTTGTTACATGAGTATAATGCATAATGCTGGGGCTTGAGCTTCTAGAGAACCCAACACCCACTTAGTCAACATAGAACTCAATAGGGATTTTCCCTCCCTCTTACCCTCCCTGCTTTTGGAGACCCCACTGTCTGTTGTCTCCATCTTTATGTCCATGTATATTCAGTGTTCGGCATCCACTTATAAGTAGGAATGTGCAGTATTTGATTTTCTGTTTGAGTTATTTCACTTAGGATAACGGCCTCCAGCTGTCTCAATGTAGCTGCTAATGACATAATTTCATTCCTTTCATTGACATTTAGTTCCATGGTGTAAGTAGATACACACACATTACATTCTCTTTACCTAACCCACTGTTGATGAACCCAGGCAGATTCCATGACTGTGCTACTGTGAATAGTGCTGTGATAAACATGTGAGTATATAAGTGCAGGTGTCTTTTTGATAAAATAATTTATTTTCCTTTGGGTAGATAGATACCCAGTAGTTAAATTCCTGGTCTGAATGGCAGTTCTATTTTTAATTCATTGAGGAATTTCCATACAGTTTTCCTGAAGTCTTATTTTCCTACAATTTGTCATTTTTGTGTCACTAGTTTCTTTCAATTCCCTAAGATCAACTTTTGGTTGTGTGTTTGCAGATTATGTGTAGGTCAAGTGTTAGGATCCGAATAATGCAAGGTATTAATTGAGGATTGCCACATGGCCCATGGTGTCTATACTGAATCACAAAATATAACAGTCTAGGTCCTTCTCTGTTGATAACCTGTCAAATACTTGAATGGCTCCAAGATGGGTGCCCTGTGTCATTTTTCCAGTCTCTCTATTCTTCAAGCACAGAGTGTATTTACTTTAACTGCACTTTGCACCACACATGGAGCATACAGAGATTCAAACAAAAAAGACAGAGTCCATGCCAAGAAGAAATTCACTAATTAGTACAGAAGACACACAGATAAACAGACATAGTTCAGGTCAACAGAGCTGTTGCTCTAATAGAAAGTTCAAGAGATCATAGAAAGACATTGGAGGGGCACCTAGCTCAACTGGGAGATTTAGAAACCATTCCCCAAAGAGGTAATATCATAACTCAACTGTAAAGAAAGAAAGAGAGTTCATGAAAAGGGAAAAGAAGGGTGTTCCAGGCAGAAGCAGCAGCATTTATAAGGGCACAGAAACATAAAAATAGGTACTGCTGGAAAGTGGTCCACAGACATTTCCATTGCTTCTATGTTCTCTTCTACTCACTTAAAAAACTTTTAAGTTATGTCTTGCTGAGCCTCACCAACTCTGATCCTTTTCCTTTCTCTGGATACTATTTTACATCTGTCTCACTATGCATCCTCCCACTTCTGCAGCTGTTTCTTGGGCAGGTCTGGTTTCTAGGGCCACCTCTGTCCCTGTCTGATCAGCATGATAAACTCTACACTTCTGGCCAGGCGCGGTGGCTCACACCTGTAATCCCAGCACTTTGGGAGGCCGAGGCGGGTGGATCACAAGGTCAAGAGATCGAGACCATCCTGGTCAACATGGTGAAACCCCATCTCTACTAAAAATACAAAAAATTAGCTGGGCACAGTGGCGCGTGCCTGTTATCCCAGCTACTCAGGAGGCTGAGGCGGGAGAATTGCCTGAACCCAGGAGGCGGAGGTTGCGGTGAGCTGAGATCACGCCATTGCACTCCAGCCTGGGTAACAAGACCGAAACTCCGTCTCAAACAAACAAACAAACAAACAACCTCTACGCTTCTGTTCAGAAACCTCTTCTCCCTAACCTGGGACATGTTAGGTGATGTTAGTCCAACAGTTACACATCCCACATTTGCAGCTTATTGTAAGCTATTTTGTATTGCTGATTTGAGGTCAAATTATTATGTCCCACACAAAGAATACTTTTTAAAAACATATAATAAACTTTTTCTTAGGATAATTTTGGAACTACAGAAAAAAACAAGCATGTTACTTAATACCCAAATTACTATAGAACTTTGTCACAACTAATAAGAATAGTAATACATTATTAATAACTAAATTCTATTCTTCATTTAGACAGCCTTGCTTTTTCCAAATGTCCTTTTATGGCTTAAGAATCCCATCCAGGAGCCATCTGACATTTAGTTATAAAGTCTTCTTAGGCTCCTCTAGATTGTGACAGTTTCTCTAGCTTCTCTTGTGTTTTGATAACCTTGGCATTTTGAGGGGTGCAGGTCAAACATTCTGTACAATGTCCTTTAATTTAGGTTTGTCTGATGTTTTTCGCACAGCTAGACAAGGGTTTGGGAAGATTTGGGGAGGAAGAGCACAGAGGTAAATCACTATTTTCATCACCTGATATCAAGGCCATAGGCTATGAATGTGATCACTGATGACTTATCAACATGACTTACCACAGTTGATCACCTGACTGAGGGTAGTATGTCTCAGTCTTCTCTGCTGTATAGTTACTGTCCTATACCATAAAAACAATATGCATATGCCAATATAAATCTTCCTTTCTTTTTTAAGTTTTTCCCTAGTCCCATAAGTAATAATGTTTTATATTTTAAAGACTTAAAAAATAGATGGACAGAGTAAATATATTTACTCAAGAAACATAAAAATGCATACTGTATTCAGTTGTGAGATGCTTTTCCATACTGTACTCTTTAGAACAGAGCCCCTATGAGCAGCCCACACTTAGAGTGGGGAGTTTACATTCTACATTCTTAAGGAAGGAATATATACATAAATTAGTTGAAATTCTTCAAATACTTTTTTTAGTGTACAAAATTCATTTAGTAATAATACTGTAATGTATAAAATATGTGACTGTATGTATTTCTGAGAAAATGATAGAGATAGATACAGATATAAGTGTAGATATATAAAAGTCTGTGTTATGAATATAGAAGGACATGTAAGAAACTAGGAACAACAGTTGTGGTTGCCTTTGGGAAGAAGAACTAAGGGTAGGAGTCATCTCATGTACAACTCAACACAGTATGCAATTTTATATTTCTTGAATTATTTACTCTGTCCATCTATTTTTAAGACTCTTAAATGTAAAGCATTATTATTTATGAAACTAAGTAAAACCAATGAAGAAGAGAGAGGAATGGTCATGTTAGCTTATGAATATAGCTTTTATCATATAGGATAATGCAAGATCTCCATGACCACTCTTGGCACCTCAAAATAGATCTCAGAGTGTTTCAGAGTATACAAGGGAAACATCAATGTTAGTGGCTAGTTTTGATAATAAATAATATATGCCAGAGTTGTATGACTGTGTTTGGTGGTAGCAGCAATTGGGCAAGATAATCAATAGTCTGATTAAACAAAGAAAGCCCAAGAGTCTTCTAAACCTAAAAAGTTGATTTGCTATTTTAGTACATGTCATTGAATATACAAAATACCCTAGTCATCAGATTTACTAGGAGAACTACCCTCCATGCAGGCTTCAACAAAGATTAATATTGCCATTGATAAGGAGAAATGCCTATGGTAGGTTATTCTCTTGAAAGGCACTTTTCTCTATATTGTATAACCAGTGTTTCTCAAGGGATAAATAATTTGAATTGTGTCTCATGGATGTATTACAGATTTAGTGTTTGTTTACTTTGCTTTTGTATTGAAGTAAGCTTTCACTATTCCACATAAGAAATAACTTAACTACTCTATATATGACACAAAGGTTATGTTGCTCAATAGTTCATTAAAGAGAATAAGCTAAAGCACTTAAATTGTTTTTTTTTAAAAAATACCTTCTAAATTTGGGAGCAAAATATTGTGGCAAGAGTGAATACAGATATAATAATAAAATACATCTAAAGAAGGCTAAGTAAAAAGATCCAAATGAAATAAAAGCAAGAAAAGTAGGGTACTTTAAAAATAAACATCAAAATGGACTATTTCCGTTTGGTTAGAAGGAAGAAATAGACATTGGGAAGTAAACAGAGGTGTTAGCTCCTTCAGAGCAGGGACTTCTTCAGATTTTACATGCCTTTCAACACAGAGTTTTGCATAGATTAAGCACTGATTTAATATTAATTTTGATTTTTTTATTTTGGTGCATAGTCAAAGAGAAAAAGAAGAAATAAAGCTGACCAAAGAAAGTGGGTCAGAGAAACGAACAAACATATTTTTAGAAAACTGGCCCACTGAGAGCACTTTTTAGACCTTTCAGTTGTGTCAGGAAGTCATAGCTTCTCCTTAGCTTGATGCATATGATCCTAAACATCTTTTTAGAATTATATCCACCACATTTATTTGTACAAAGCCCACAGTATACAAAATTGCATGCCAAGTTTCAACTAATATCACATTAACTCTCTGCTTTCTCTGCCATAACATAGTGTAATAAATGGAGAGTTTCTAACTGGAAGCAGATTATAACTTAGTCCTTATACCAGCCCACTATAAAATTTTATCAGTGCTGCTCCAGTAGGGATGAATACAAAAGTAATATTGTCTTCTTCTAATATGTTATTTCAGGTCAGTGTTCAAGTTACAAATTGAAGCAAAAAGTCTGTTAAGATAAAACCCTTACTCTACAAATTTACCAATAACTGCAACAAATTTAAAATTTATATCATGATGAAGTTTAACAAATTAGACACTTGAGTAAATGTATTATATATCCCTGAAACCTAAAGTGGATAACACATATGGAGAAAAAATGACTTATTTGATTAAAAAGATTATGTCATTTAATTTCTAATCAACGTGTTGGTTACTAAGATGTATAGTGACTGGTATATAAAGAATCTCAGTCATATTAGAAGATACAAAATAAGTATTTTTATTGCAATTATACTATCAAATGGTCATATGAACCTTGGTCTAAAAAGAGAATGTATTCTATCTAGTGTTTCACTATTTCTAGGAGATAAGGCTATGTCATTAGGAACTACATATTGATTTTAATTAGAACAGGCACTACACCATTAATATGAGTTGTGATGCCACTAAGGCAGTTGTCAAGGGGGGATTAATTAATTAATTGTAAATTAATTAATTGAAAATGAATCAAATCAACCTAGGAAAATGAATATAGAACTGGGAAGGAGGAGATTAAACTCACAAAACAGATTGAAAACCCAAGGCAATCTAAATTGTTAATCAAGATGGGAGAAAATTAAGCAACTCATTAAAAGAGAGGACGTGTTGTTTTTCAGAAAGCAAGGTAATAACAATAAAAGCAATGAATTAAATTCAAACATTTTCCTTAAAATAGTATATAAAATTCCAAAAAATGCTAAGATTTTGCCAGTTTATGCTGCAGACTTGGAAAAATGATTTGTAACATTTAACACTCTTAACACTCATCACAAATGAGTCACTTTATTTTTTGTTGATGGCTAAAGAGGAAATGCTCTCAAATGCTTGAAAGGAAATGAATATATTAAATTGAAGTAAAGTTCTATTATACAGAGACAATTGTGCCCTGCTTTTTTTATGGGTTTGTCTCTAGTTACTGGATTTCATTGTTTATGGAACTCAATGCTTCCAAAACTGAGCAAAATGGATAGTTGACTAACAAGAAAAGGTTATGTTTGGAAAAAAATTAAACTTTTCAAATTTAACTATGAAAAATATAGATATAGATGGGAAAATCTGATAAAAGCATATATCTGTGCTATGGAGTGATATTTTAATCTAAATTATCTTTAATATTTCTATGTCTATAAAAAAGGGAAATATCATTAGGAGGCTTCCTCATGGCCAATAAAGAAAAGATGATGTGTCAATTATAATCTATTAGAATTAGGATAAAATATCACAAAGTGAAAATTAAAGCCATATGTGTATGAGACTCTGATTTCTGACAAATACATGTTCCAGGTAGTCCTCACTTTTCACAGTGCTTTTCAGAGGCATGGCATTGAAAATGAATGCTAAAAAGAAAAATCCTGTTTACCCTGGCCAATTCTTGCCTGTAAACAGGCTGTTGCCTCTCCTAAAATGTAAGTTGAAAACCAATTGTAATAAGCAGTGCTACACTTTATCAGATGTTTGTTAGAGAATTAATTAAGCGTGCCAAAATTTCAGGTGGTGAGAAGAGGGTATGTGTGTATGTGAACTTCACGCATTTAGGAACTATGTTGTCAAATGAGTATGCTGCTTTACAGCACGGACTTCTCTGACTCCACCTTTAAGGCAGACTATAATATGGCCCTGCCTAGAAAGAGTAACTGTATGCACTCACACTAAGTTACTTGCAATCTGTCCTATAACAGTTCACACTGAGCCTGTACTAACTGCAAAAACAACAACAACAAAACCTATAAATTCTTGCATATGAATTAAGTTCTTTAAGTTAACAACTACTTACTGTGCATATAATATGACTTGTGCACTATTCTGGGAGCCTGGGATGTTGATAAACAAAACAGATAAATATTTCTGACCTTGTGGAATTTATATGCTAGTTGGCTGACACAGAAAACAAAAAATAAAGTAAAAATAATAAGTAATGCTTCATATTAGAAATAAGTTATATGGGGAAAAAAGCGAAAGTAAATCAGGCTATGAGGATTAGGAAAGGGGTACAAATTTTAAATAGGGCAATCTGGGTAGGCCTCATGGAGAATGTCACATTTAGGATGTTCTTATTCAACAGAGAAGAGATAGAGAAAACCCCAAAAACAGATACCTGACTTGCATATTCAAGGACCAGCAAAGAGGCTGAGGAAATGAAGAGCCAGGATACTGGAGCCTTGTAGATCATTGTCAAGATGGACTTTTCCTTGAGTGAAATAGAGAATGATTAAATGTTTTTAGTAGAAAATTGATGTGATTATGTTATCATGTGATGTTACATAAGTCTCAAAACGATCACCATGGTTACTCTACTGATCATGAGGGGAAAGGGTAGAAGCAGAAAGACCAGTTACAAGGGTACTGTGATAATCCAAAAGAAAAATGGTGGATTCTCAAGCCTGGGTAGCAGCAAAGGAAATAAGAATTGGTCCAGTGATCCAATTCTAGTTATATTTAGATAGTAGAGCCAACAAGATTTGCTAACGTAGTCAATAATGGATGTGAAAGAGGGAGGAAGAGAGAGAGACAAGTCAAGGATGATACCAAGGGTCTTGGCCTCAGTACTTAGAGGATGGTATTGCCTTCAACTGATGCAGAAAGCCAAGAGCAAGTTTAGGAGGAAAGATATGCTATTCAGATATAGACACCTAGAGTTTGAGATGCCTAATGGACATCCAAGTCAAAATAAAGGGTGGACTCTTGATTTTATGAACATGGAGGTTAGAAAAGAGATCTGAGCTACATATAGAAATTTAGGGTATGGACATAAAATTATTTTTGATGCCATAACACTGGATGAGATCACCAAGTCAGGGAGCATTGAAAGAGAGTGAAGAGGACCAAGGTCTAAGCACTGGGACACACCAACATTCTCTACCCCTTGGGGAAAAGAGAAAGAATCAATAAAAGAGACGGAAGGATTGACCAGTAAGGTAGGAAGACACCTTAGAGAAGGTGGGGTCCTGAAAGCCAAGTGAAGAAAGAATCTCAAGAAAAGCTGGGCACAGTGGCTCATGCCTGTAATCTGGCACTTGGGGAGCTGAGGCAGGAGAATCGCTTGAGCCCATGCATCCAAGACCAGCCTGGACAATATGGTGAAACCCTGTCTCTACCAAAAACAAAAACAAAAATTAGCCAGACATGGTGGCACATGCCTATAGTTCCAGCTACTTGTAAGACTGAGATGTGAGGATCATCTGAGCCTGGGGAGGTAGAGGCTGCAATGAGCTATGATTGCCTGGGAGACAGAGTGAGCTCATGCATCAAAACAAAACAAAAAAAAACCTCAAGATGTTATCAACTATGTTGACATGTTGCTG